TGCCGGGAATATCTTCTACAATATACTGCAGCTTACCAGCTCCTAGATGAGGTGGCTGCATTAGTTTACTTTATTCCGGCTTTTTACCCTTTATTTTCCCTTGCTGTCCACCACTCACTGCAATGGATCTATAGAGGAGCAGCATTGTCACCCTAGGCTTCTCCCCTCGTATGGACTATAAACCCCTCCCCCTGTACATTACATAATACTGTAGTTCACAGATGATAACATTGAGTCATCAATTTGGAGCACAGTGGGTTACAAGGACACTGCAATACAGGTCTTTCTATCATCATTATGTGCGTGGAGGGGAATTAGCCAAAAACACATGAAAGGAAGATAATATTGTTTATGCTTTCAGTTCATCTCATAGGAAGGGACAAGGACATGGCTTTTCCAGCTCGACCAACAGAGAGAATATTCTTTGCCTTAAAAAAGAAAACTAATACAGCCGCCACATCCACGGACTGGTAAGCTACAGATTAGGGAATCTGAATGAACTCTTCTAAACATTTCGGCTGGCAAAGGGCTTTGAGATTGCATTTTCCACAATGCACTATGACCCACCTGCCTGCAGGTCAAATGAAAAGCTTCGGTCCTATGCTCCTCCATGGAACAGGATATAGAACTAACTGCGACCCACCTGAAGGCAATGTTGCATAATGAACAGGAAACTATTGCTCTTGTGGTGACTGGCATTGATCAAGTGTAGAAAAATGCAAGTCACCGCACACAGAGTGACTGGGCCACCGCACACAGAGTGACTGGGCCACCGCACACAGAGTGAATGGGTCCTACAAATGACTGGACCCATCTCCTAGTAAAATCTGAAAACCCAAATGCAGGGAGCGCTTAGATTTGGATAAAGTGGGGAATGTTTAGACCCTCTGGCAGGTTTTTATTGCAGTCTGTACTACAATTGGGGAGACTTCCCCTCACCTTATTTATGCTAATATGAGAGCTTGTCACCAGGATAGAAATTCTCCACAAAAGGAACTCGGGCAGCAATAAATACCCAACACAGGATCTAACCTGCCCCCACTACACACAAAATTAAATAAAATCATAAAAATGTTTTGAGTGGTGTTGGGCTTACATAAATGTTAAATTATCAGCATAAAATAAACCCTCAATAAAAAAACTAAAAATTGGTGAAACATGCATTTTTCCTCGCTGTACACAAGTTAAAAAAATTATATGCACACACACACTAAAATATATATATATATAATTTGTATTTAGGTTTTAAATTTTATTATTTCTGTTTCTTAAGCAACCATTGCACTACATTGATATCACCCAATTTTTTGCATACACTGTTTAAAATATCAGTCGTCAATGAATAACAGCTTTAGGAGATTATAGAAAAGACAAAATAAAAAACATCACTATGGTAAGCAGCGATATTTTCAAGCGCACACAAAAGGGGTCTATTGTAAAATGTTTTTATGCAACTTTCAGGACCCAGTTACACTTACGTTGTGCGTTACCACGCATTATACTGCAATGCATATTGCAATGCTATTCATTTTGAATGTCGCCCTAATACAGTAACAACACACCTGGGTTGCAGAGCGTGGCAATGCGTGGTAAGGCATTGCGTTGCCAAAAACGGTTTAGGTCTAATTTTTGGCAAAATACAAAGCTCATTCATTTCAATAGGCTGCCTTAATGCAACAAGCATTAGCATATGGTAAACATTTAAAATGGTCCCTCACCCTGGATTCACACATTTTCCCAATTGAATCCAATTAAAAAAATCCTGTGTGAAAGCATTGATAAGTAGACCTTCTTATAGAAAGATACTTTTTGTTACTTTGTTGCCCGATTGCCTAAAGTAAATCTACGGGCTGCGCCAAGAACGTGACACCACTGCCAGTAAAGTTTTAACATAAAAAAACTTGTTAAATTGCAGCTTTATTGATCCTATGGAGAAAAAGGTAAAAAGCCAAAAAAGAAAGAATCCCCCGACTGTATGGTTTCTATCAATCACTCACCGATGCAGAAGAGCCCACCGATGACCCCCCAGAGCCTATTCATGGTGGCAGTGCCGTGTCCCCAGACGGCAGACATCTCCATGGGACCTGAAACACAATATAAACTTTCAAACTTCCTCCTCCTGTGATTGCAGCTTCTCTAGTTCTGAGTCTGACTCATCAGCTGACTGTGATCATGTGCCTGACTCACAGCCCCAAGAAATCTCACACAGGTCACTCCCCAAAACTATTGTTCCAGTCTTTTAATTACTATATTCATTGAAAGAGATAGAACTTCAGTATGGGCTTGGGTGGTTACTTCACGGTGTCAAATCAATCCCATTGAATTTCAAAAGAAACTTACAAATTATTTATAAATAGGACTTTTCTGTGCTGATAAAATATGTATTACTTTATATGAGATACTGTTACAAGAGGATGAAATCCTTCCTGGATAATATTGCCAAGTATATCAAAGCATGAGCATTTTATTGTCAACGCTTCAACAGCGCTCAATAAAATGCCTCCAGACCTATTTTGGATTTGTATGGATTTTTGAGTGAGCGCCCAGGCAATAACCTTACACACAGAGTGCGGTGGCTACCCTTGGGACTATACATATACAGTATACACTGATCAGCCATAACATTATGACCACTAAGAGGTGAAGTGAATAACATTGATTATCTCATTACAATGGCTTCTGGAAGTGGATGGGATATATTAGGCAGCAAGTGAACAATTTGTCCCTGAATTTGGTGTGTTTGAAGCATTAAAAATGGGCAAACGTAAGGAATTGAGTGCTTTGACAAGGGCCAAATTGTGATGGCTAGACGACTGGGTCAGAGCAACTCTGAAACTACAGCTCTTGTGGCATCTTCCCGGTCTGCAGTGGTCAGGACCAGTGATGGGCTCGGGCGTGTTCGCAGGTCCACGTGCCGAGCCCTCCAGGAAGCTGACAGCGTGCAGCGCCAATCACAGGTACTGAGACATGTTCCCGGTCCGCAGTTGCAGAGATCGGGAAATGTCTCAGTGCCTGTGATTGGCGCTGCGCGCTGTCAGCTTCCTAGCGGGCTCGGCACGTGGAGCTGCGAACACGCCCGAGCCCATCACTAGTCAGGACCTACCAGAAGTGGAGCAAGGAAGGAAAATCAGTGAACCAGCAACAGGGTCATGGGTGGCCAAGGCTCATTAATACACATGTGGTGCGAAGGCTGATCCAGCCTGACAGACCCCTGATGCCTCCATAAAGAGGACCTGTCACATCATATTTGTTATTACAGTCCCCCGCCCCTACATACACACACATACAAACGCAAACAAGCGTCGGGTGCGCCTACGTGCTAAAACGAAAATTGCGCCACACGTGTTACATATCACCACGAACATCTTAGTGAGAGCAATAATTCTAGGGCCATCAAGTACTGTTAATACTAAAATGACGAGCAGTAAAAGCATTTAAAGTCTTGCCTATGAGAAATTTGTGGTATTGTAGTCTTTTGCTGTATCACGGGCGCACGAGATTTGAAGGCTTGACATGTTTGGTATCTATTTACCCGACATCACCCCGTCTTTTATATTTTCCCCAAAAGTTGGGTATTATATTCTGTTTCTGTGCACTAAAATACCTGTTTGATAAACATTTGCCCAAATACTGTGCTACATAGAAAATTGCAACTAGGATTTTTTTATTCTACAGGGCCTCTGCTTTCAGAACATATATCATTGTTTTGGAGTCTGAGGCTGTTTTCTAGCCAAAAATTCTGATTTTATCATGTGTGTGCAAATATTAAGAAATTGCTATGGACAGCAAGTGGTTATGAATGAACTCCTGAGTTTAGTGTCATTGGAAGTATCAATCCACCCTAAAGGACAAGTTCTTTTAAAACTGATAGTTCATTGTTTGGTCGAGTTGAACCTCCTAACAATTTCATATATCTCTGGGCGACTGTATTGGTGAGATCTCGGAACTGATTTCCTGGGTTCCTAGACCTGCTGTGCCCATTACTTGGCCTCCTACTCTCCCTGTTAGATTTATATTTATTTATATATTTATATATATAATTAATTCATATAATAATTTAATTATTCATTTATTTATTTTGTAATATGAAAAATGTAACATGTGGAAATGAAGAGAGAGGAATTATGGCAGAGAGTTCTCACTGTTGGAGTATCCAAGACATGAAATGTAGGGATGTTCAGATATCAAGTATTGTACTCAGTACAAGTACAAGTACAGATACTTTTCCAGCTCCAAGACTAGACCAGAGAAAAATTCAAAAGTTAGGAGGCAGCTGTCATTTTTAAGGAGCATTGACTACGGGGCTCCTGGGATTTGTGCGTCTCTTTTTAAATGCATGATCTTTTTTTAACTACCTTCCGTCCATGGCCGTTCGTGAACATATAATAGGGATCACCAATATCATTTTTCCAGACCAAGTATCAGTACTGATACTTATCCAAGTACTCACAGATACCAATAGCTGATACCTTTTTGTTTAGTGTCATGTGTGTCATAACAATAAAAATAGTGGGGAACAACAAGGTAGTAAACTTTTGTCCCAATAGTCACAGCCACAGCCGCTGCAACCCTGTTAGTTCTCATGAAAATGCCAAGTGTCAGCACTGGTATCTGAACATCCCTAAATTAATAAGTTGTCAGCTGACTCATGCCCACCACACTCCACCTACACTATGACTAAAATATTTATTTTGCTCGGACTGTCACTTGAAGTATATCTGCTCTCTGAAAATACACTACCATTTTCCCTTAGGTGTTCACAACTCTGTGACTGACATGAAAGTAAAAGAGTAATGCAGGACCTTGGGCAAATTCATACGAGCGCTTGGAATCAGAATATACTAAACACGTCATACATTTATCAAGTGCTGACATGAGTTTGTGATACATTCAGCAAATGCCCAACAGACTTTTTTGATGGCTGTCAGCATCTTGCTACATTGACAATTGCCTTCAGAACCATAAATAATCAACAGAAGCTTCCTAAAGCGGAAGTTAAGTGTGGAAAATGAAAAATTGCTAGGTCAGGATTTTCGGCAAAAGAGAAATGCGAAGTCCCTTATGCTAAAAAAAAAATCTTCCTCTCTCCCCCCAGTGATTTTTTATTCTCTTTGTATACTGAATGGATCATAAATGCCATGAATAGGCCTGAGTTCCAGGGAGGATGTAACTCTTGTGCATATACACAGGAGTTACATCATCAGTGACCACCCAATGGCCAAAGAGGGATCTTACAAACCCCAGAAGGGTCGGTGGTGGAGATGGTAGCAGGGAACAGAGCTTAAGACCGAAGATTGATCCTAAAACGCTGAAGAAGGGCACACATGTAAGATAAGTGTGCCATAATGTGCAAGTATCCAAACCATTATGGTAAAAACCCATCCACTTCTGCTTTAATACTTTCAAAACAATACATTGAGGAAAGGCTTTGGCAGTATTGGAAATAGACATGTAAGCTGCGGAAAAATTTGGTTCAGATATTTAGTTATTTCAGAATTCAGGATTTGGATCCGAAATTCAATTTGGTTCAGGTTTTGGATTCGGACTAAATCTGAATTTCGTTAGTTTCGGATGAGTTTACGAATACTCTTTGCGAGTAAAACAGAAAACCATAAACAGATATTAACCTCCTTGGCGGTATTCCCGAGTGTGGCTCGGGGTTAATTTTCAGTACCAAGCCACACTCGGGAATACAGCGTAGCGTCTCTTACCTTGTCCGCGATCCCCGCTGTGTTCTCGGGCCGATTCCGGCATTCGTCTTCCGGGTTCCATTCCTTGCGAGCGTCCGCATCGCAGGGGGGTGGAACCAACGGGAATTTTAAAAGGAAAAAAAATAGAACAAAAAAGGAAAAAAAAATTAAATAATCAGACCGCCAGGGAGGTTAATACTAAAGCTGAATCTCCCAGACCAGAATGGCATTCAGGATCCGAATTTCCGAATTCCATTCGGGTCCGGTAGCCATATACATATATTACTAAAGCTGAGGTTTTCAGACCCGAATGACATTCAGGATCCAAATTTCTAAATTGCATTCCGGAAATTCCGATCCCGAATGCCATTTGGGTCTAGGAGCCTCAGCTTTCGTATTATATGTATATACTGAACACGAATTTTCGTTACGGTATGTGACTTTTCTGGCCAATCAGATGGCTCCCATGTTGCCATAACGAAAATTCATGTTCAGACTCATTCGGGTGCATTAAACCGAAAAACACATCTGAATCGCCAGAAAAGTCACATGTCCAATTCAGTATAGTTTTTGAACGAAATTTGGACGGGATATGAAATTCGGAAAATGAAATTCGGATTCGGACACATTTGGATGCATTGGGATTCAGAAATTCGGATGTGTCCAAATGTTTGAATTTCGGGAAAATTCATCCCAATTTTGATTCGGAACGAAACAAAATCGCACATGTCTAATTGGAAAGTATCTGAGAACGCTCCAGTTGACCTCTATGACAGGTATAAGGAAGTGTCCATATGCTTTAACACTTCGAATGTCCATATCACAGTTTTGCTTGCTTTGCATCAATGCAATAGCTTGTCTTAAAGGCCCCGTTCACATGGGCAGCCAAAGGGCTTTAAAAATTGCGTCCCCCACCTCTTCCCAGACCGCCCACCTAAACTTAATATAGCAAGTCATGCTTGTACACACAAATTTTTTACAGCATGTCACATGTGACACGTGGTGCTTGCCAAATGTGACCGTTGCAATCAATGGGGCTGCTCTGCATCTGCCCGGTCACGCTGTTGTGGCACAGTATTGCAATAGAAAATCCCCATTGGGAGTAGAAAAAAAGAAAACAATGGCATTCAGGAGGTGGCAGTATCTTTTCTTAAAAGCCAGGCAGCTGCTGCTCTACCGCCCTCCAAAAAACAATCCACCATGGATAATTTTTCAGAGGAGTAATGGGGCCTGCCACGCATCTGAATGAGTCCAAACACACATGTATACTAACACATTTCATATATATATATACACAAGATAATGCAAAGCATTTGGGAAGTGTTTATATGTTTTTACGGGGATCTTATGTGTGTTGGTGCCTATTTGATAGTACTCAATATTCCTGGATAACATGGTCTGCAGCTCAGACATTAGATTGGGCATTAGTGACATTACACT